GCGTCTGACAGCATCAGCTCGGCGGCGCGTAGACCCCCCCTTGCCCCCTTGCTTCCTCGAGGCGCATGGGCCCTTTCCCGAACAGGGAAACGCGGCGCAGCGACTTCCTGCTGGCGCCGCGGAGGACGCGCGCAGGCACTTCGGAAAAGTTCTTGTCAGACTCACCCCATCAGCGCAGCGGGCGACGGATCTGCATCGAGCAAGACCGACTCGGCCGCGCGGGCCGCGCGGTCGCGCGGCCGCCCGCCTTCCTCACGGGCGCGGCGAAGCCGCCACCTCTCGCGCCAACGGCCCGCGGTGGTGACGTCGTCGGCACCCCCCGCAGCGGTCATTGAGGCGCGCCCAGTCTCGCGGGCATCGGCCACGACCATTACGGCGACCAGGGGGCATCCAGCTGGGCGCCCAGCGTGATGAAGAAACCGAGGAAGATCTTCAGCTCCTTCCGCGCTGATGCCCAGTGGCCGAGCGCGCCGGTAGCCCTGCTGCAGTGGCGCAGACGGCGCCGAAGCCGCTGAGGCTCTCGCGGCGGCAGAGCGCCGCGAAGGCGCAGTGGCCGAGGACGCGCTCGATGTCGCAGCTGGTCACCCTGGGGCGGCGCCGCGCCATGCAGCCGAGGCCCATGCACAGCTTCCAGAAGCGTCGCGGCGCCAGCGTAGCCCGCGCGGGCCAGCCCTCGAGCTGGCCCCCCAGCATCACCATGGAGTCCGCGGCGTCGGCCTCGTCGCGAACGGCGAGCCCAGCGGCCTCCAGGGCCTGGAGGCCAGACGCCTGACGCGCGCAACCTCCCCCCGATGGGCGCCCACGACGAGCGCGTCGTCGACGTAGAAGGGAGTGGATCGGCTCCGCCGGCGGCGACGGCGGCGGCAGGAAGTCGACGGCGCGCAGCTCGGGCCTGAGGGCGTCGCAGCCGCCCAGCACGCGCTCGCGGGCCATCTGCGAAGTAGAGGGCCCAGTTCCAGCCCATCGGCGCCGCGGCCAGCCGCGGGCACAGGCGGGCCCAAGGCGCCACGCGGCGCCCGCCCAACCTGCCGACGCCCAGCTCGCCCGCGGCCACCGCGGGCAGGCAGAACAGCGGCCGCAGGTCGGCAGGTAGCTCGCGCCGGTCGACGGCGCTCTGGACGCCCACCCCCGAGAAGTAGAGCGCGGCCCCCACCGGGCACCTCCTGGTCCGCGGAGCCCGCGGCCGAGAAGAGGTCGACTGGCGGAGAAGGCTGAAACGGTTGGCTGCCCCTCTTGCAGCCGAGCACCACCCTGATCCGAGCGCCCTTCCCGGCCACGAAGAACACCCCGACGCCCTCTATCCCGATATTGCCGGGCACGAAGACGCCTCCGGAGACCCCAGACTTCACAAACTCCATGTACATCGCGCTGCTCTTTTCCCGCACAGGGCCCATGCACGACGAAGGCCCCCCGCCCCCCTCCACGACTGCGTCGAAGCTCGTTGGCGGCAGCAGCAAGGCGCGGCCGAAGCCCAGGAGAGAGCGTCGGTCTGCTGGCCCGAGTAGGTAGCGAGCCAGCCAGGCCCGTTCCCAAGTTGGGGCCAACGCACGACGCGCGGTGCACGCGGCCTCAGCGGTAGATCGGTTGACATGTCATAGCGCAGACACGGACGGCCAAAAATCTAGGGGCAGGCCACCTTGGCCGACGCGACCGCCGGGGCCTCCATCTGACGAGAAAAGCGGCGAACGCGTCGAAGTAGGAGGTCGCCCATCTGGGAGAAGCGCACTGGCGCGCACTGCGGTGCGTTGTAAGGCCCCACGCAAGTCGAAGCACCCCGCGGCGCCCCGAGCACGCCCCCCCATGGACTAGGCGCGCGGAAGACGTGCCCGAACCGAACTGGATAGTCCAGGCGGAGGTCGCGCAGGGACTGGCGCAGCAGGAGCAGCAAAAGGCAGCATCCCGCCACCAGCGGAGGGGCCTGTGGTAGGCCGACAAAGCTGGCTCTCGCGAGGCGGCGGGCGGCCCGGCCGACGGGCCCAGGTCGCCCCTGGCTTGTCCCTTATTGCCAGCGGAGGCGCCCCTCTCCTCGCGCGCCTTCCGCCGTTGCTTCTGGATCTCGGTCTCCTTGGCCAACTGCTCCGTCGCGCGCTTCGCCAATCCTGGCGCCACCGCAACGCGGCGACGAGCACTCTGGTTCGAGCGTCCGATGCAATGCCCGACGCCCTCGATCTCCATGCTACCCATGGTCTCCTCCACCAACTGGCACGCGCGGGCGACCACTTCCACGCGGGCCAAGTTCGACCCGTCGACCTGGTCGTAGGTCTGGGCGAGCTCGATCGAGAGCCCTACGCGATCGTGGAAGTGGGCCGCCACCGAGTCCTTCGTGCAGCCGCTCCCACTCATCCACTTGGTCTGGCGGCCATCTGGGGCGCCGCCGTGCTCGACGATGCACTCGCGCAGCGACTTGTAGCTGCGCTCTCCGGACAGAGGGAAATCGTCCAGCGTCTCCTGTCGCATGTGGCTCACCGACTCGCGGAAGTCACGGTGGCGTCGGCCTTCGCGGGCCCTTGTCAGCGGCCCCACGAGACGGGCATCATCACCCGCGCCACGTGGCTGCTGGGCGGCCGAGGCGGAGGGCACCAGCTCCATGGGCACGACGAAGCCAGCGGGCAGGCCGTGGAGCCCGCTCTCGCCCAAAACTACATCCCCAGGCATCGGCAGGACCTGGTCGCCACGCTGGATCTCGGCGCCCACCGCCTCGCTGGCAATCCAGGTCATGCCCGGAGGCGGCGCCTCCGCGCTCACCAGCACGCGGGCGCCGACGGGGCCGGGCGGCGGTGCGGCGGTACCCTTTGCAGGCGGCAGCTCCCTGTCGTCGGCCTCGTTTCCCAGCCCAGGCGGCGCAGGCACTGGCGGCGGGAGGGGCGGCCCCCGCGGCGGCACAGCGCCAGCGGCCGTAGGAGGGCGCCCTGCGCCCTTGCGGCCGAGGCGACGGTAGAAGCCAGGGACCTCGCCGAAGCTGACCGTCAACGAGCCGCCCAGCACGTCCCCGCGGCGCACGAATAGCGGGGGCTCTGTCACGTCGAGGCCAGCAGCTCGAGCATCTCCTGGCGGCGCGCACCAGGACCATGTCCAGTTGCTCAACCTCGGCGGGGTAGCTGCCGAAGCGATATACGCGCCCAGCAGGCCGCTGCCGTGCAAACGTAGCGCCGAAGGCGAGCGAGGCCATGTTCGGCCCGCCACCGTCGGCGCCCGAGGCGATCCCCTCGTCGTACACGTCGCCATCGGGGGTCACGACGGTCCAGTTCGTCGGGGGCTGCTGCGCGTCGGCGGGCCAGATCAACACGCGGTCATGCCAGATGCCGCGGTCGTCGTAGTGAAAGGCGACGACGCGGCCCGGCAGCAACTCATTGAAGAACTCCGCCGCCTCGGCGGCGCTCCCCTCCGACCTGAACAAATGCAAACGTGGCAGCAACGCCATGCCGAGTGCGGCGGTGGCTGAAGACGCTGGCGATCTGAGCAAGGATCACCGTCAGCACCAGCCCGATCGAATGTACGTACAAGGAGTCGGCGTCCGAGCCGTGCTGGTCCTGCTGGGCGCGGACCTCGCGCAACTCTGAGGCCAGCGAGGCGACCTCCCCGTGCAGCTGCGACACGTATGCTGGGCAACCAGAGCGGCTCCGAGCGTACAGCGCGGCCCGTTCCGCCTCGCGCGAGGCCGCCTCGGCCTGCAGGGCTACCGCAGGCGGCGGTCCAGGGGGGGCCCGCCACCGCTGCCACGCAGCAGCCCAGGCCACCAGGCGCCCAGCGTGCACCACGCGCAGACTATTACCCACGAAGGAACCTGCGGCGGACGAGGGCGGGCCAACATACAGGTGTTTCCTGAACGTAAAAAGGCTTGAGCGAAATAGAACGGACTCTGTGCTGCGCCCCCATTCACGTTCGCAGGACAAGTCTGATCATCATCATCAGCATCATCATCATCATCATCATCATCATCATCATCATCATCATCGTCATCATCATCATCATCATCATCATCATCATCATCATCATCATCAGCATCATCATCATCAACAGCAACATCATCATCATCATCATCATCATCATCAGCATCATCATCATCGTCATCATCATCATCATCAGCATCGTCATCATCATCATCATCATCATCATCATCATCGTCATCGTCATCGTCATCGTCGTCATCATCATCATCAGCATCATCATCATCAGCATCATCATCATCATCAGCATCATCTTCATCATCATCATCCTCATCAGCATCAGCATCATCATCAGCATCATCATCATCGTCAGAATAAGCATCATCAGCAGCACCAGCATCATGATCATCTTCATCATCATCAGCAACATCAGCATGATCAGCATCATCATCATCATCATCAGCATCATCAGCATCGTCATCATCATCATCATCATCGTCATCATCATCAGCATCATCATCATCAGCAGCAGCATCAGCAGCAGCATCATCAGCATCATCATCATCAGCATCATCATCTTCATCATCATCGTCATCATCGTCATCGTCATCGTCATTTGCACTATCGTCATCATCATCAGCATCATCATAATCAGCATCAGCAGCATCATCATCGTGATCAGCATCAAAGTCGTCAGCATTACGAGCAGCATCATCAGCATCAGCATCAACATCATCATCGTCATCAGCATCAGCATCATTATCATCATCATCGTCATCATCATCGTCATCATCATCGCTATCATCATCGTCGTCATCGTCATCGTTATCATCATCATCATCATCATCATCATCATCATCATCATCATCATCATCATCATCATCGTCATCATCATCGTCATCGTCATCGTCATCGTCATCGTCGTTGTGATCAGCAGCAGCATCATCATCATCATCATCATCATCATCATCATCATCCCAAGTATTCGCCCACATCCATAATCGTCCTCATCCTCCTCCTCTCCCATCTCCTCATGCTCCTCCTCCTCCTCCTCCTTCTCCTCCCCCTCCTCCATCATCGTATCCATCCTCCCACCCAGCCCCCCCAGTTGGCCTTTGAGCCCACGCCGCTGGGAGAGCCGCCGCCGAAGCCAAACTCCCAAGGGCCAGGCGCGCCATCGGGAACGGCGCCGGGGCTACCTTCTTCCCAGAAGGGAGGGGGGGAGGGAAAGAGGAGGGGGAGGGGAAAGGAGGGAGGAGGAAAACTGAACGTCTCCAAAAAATGCCGGCTTCCAAAATCATGGAAAGGTGACTCCACGTCGCGACGCTGGCTCTGGTTCCGGGCAGGCTGTGCTGTCCAGCGGAGGGCGAAGAGGGAGGAAGCAAGCTGACGGCAACGAACGCGCAAGCTGGAGGCCGAGGCTGGCGGGGCGGGCGGCGGCCAGGCGAAAGGGGGCCAGGCGAAGACAGCAGGCAGGGGACAGGAGGAACAGGAGAGAGACGAGGACGATGAGGTGGAAGATGTGTTCTCTTGAATTTGCTGTCGTTGGACTTTGGCTGCTACTGGCTCTGTGTAGACACAGGCGAGCTGCGCGGGCTCTACACAGCGGTCACCATTCCTGTTCATGTCTGCGCGCAGGGCGGGGGCAAACAAGTCCAGCACATCCACCCCAAACGAAAGCTGGCCTCCCCGGGCCCCCTGGACGCCCCATGCAGAGCGATCCCTCGGCCTTCGGGCCTCCTGGATATCCCCATCCCTGCTGGGCCTTGAACAAAAAGCCCATGGCGGTCGGGAGGGAGACAGACGGCCCCGCGAGAGCCCCAAGCGGCCCCAAACACCCCAGGATGCCCGAAGACGGCCCAAGGAAGATCCCAACAGGCCCTCAAAGCGCAGAAAATACTGATATGCTTTAAATGTCTGCGTTGGGGGGTACTCTGTTCTTCGGTCTTCCAGGGTTCCGAGACCGCCCAGGATGCACCGAGAATCGCATCAAGCCAGTCGCGGTGGGCATCGGAAAAGTCCCAGAGAGCCCCAAGACAACAAAAAGGGCCCCCACACGGCCCGAAGAGAACCTCATGGCGGCCCAAGACGGTCCCAAAACGCCACTGGATCACTCCAAATCGTGGCCTCGTCGTTGAAGGAGACCGCGGTTGGCAGCAAGATGGCCAGCCCCCAAGGGGACCCCCTAAGGTCCCAAGAGGCCCCCAAGAATCCCTCGTGAGGCCCCCAAAAGACCCCCTGAAAAAACGAATCAAGAAGACAAGGACGGTTTCGTAGGGAAGGGCGATAACGAGAAGTTGTCACCAACTTTTGCTGTGAAAGCGACGACGCTACGTGTTCCGTTTTCCCAACCATCCTGTGGTGTTCGGTCCTCGCTTTGAAGAGACAACGCACGGTCCCCTCTCTCCTCCTTTCCTCCTCCCTCCTCCTCCTCCCACCACCTCCTACTATCATCCCACCGTCCCGTCATCACGTCATCATCATCCCATCATCCCATCATCGTATTCTCGTCATCAATATCATCGCCATCGTCGTCGTCACCGTCATTATCGTCATCATCACCATCAGTTTCATCATCATCATCATCATCATCATCATCATCATCATCATCATCATCATCATCATCATCATCATCATCATCATCATCATCGCCGTTCTCGTCACAATAATCGCCGCTCATGTCGGCACACCCCTCACACGGCTGTTTGCGCTCGCGTGCGCCCACCGCACCCATTTTGGCACACCCCTCAAACGCTTCGTGGCCCCATAGGAGCTCCACCGAGGGCCCCAGTGGTTGAACCCGCATGCGGGCACCGCACACATTTCGGCACACCCCTCACACGCTTCGTCGTGGCCACATAGGAAGCTCCACCGAGGGCCCCACTGGCTGCGGTCGCACGCGGGCACCGCACCCATTTCGGCACACACCCCTCACACGTTTCGTGACCCCATAGGGAGCTCCACCGAGGGCCCCGGTGGTTGCGTTCGCATGCGGGCACCGCACCCATTTGGCACACCCATCATACGCAGCGTGGCCCCAAAGGGAGCTCCACCGAGGGCCCCAATGGCTGAGCACGCGTGCGGGCACCGCACACCCGTCGGCACACTCCTCACACACTTCGCTGCCCCAGAGGGAGCCCCACCGAGGGTCCCAATGGCTGCGTTCGCCCATGCGCCCACCGCACCCATTTCGGCATACCTTTTGCCCCATAGGAGCTCCGCCGGAGGCCCCAGTGGCTGCGCTCGCGTGCGCCCACCGCACCCAATTCGGCACACCCCTCACACGCTTCGCGGCCCCATAGGAAGCTCCATCGAGGGCCCCAGAGGCTGCGTTCGCACGCGCCCACCGCACACATGTCGGCACACCCCGAACACGTTTCGAGAGCCCATAGGGAGTGCCACCGAAGGCCTTACTGGCAAGGTTCGCATGGAACCACCGCACCGAGCTCGGCAAACTCCGCGCACGTTTCGTGGGCCCACAGGGAATTCCATTGAAGGCCTCAATGGGGACGGCTCGCATGGCCCCATCGCGCCGAGTTCGGCGCGCCCCTTGCACGCTCCGTGGCCCCATAGGGAGCTTCAACGAAGGCTCCATTTGCAGGGCTCGCGTAGCGCCACCGCGCCGATGTCGGCACGCCCCTCACACGCTTCTCTACCGAAAGCCTCTGCGGGAGGATCCGCATTCGACTTCCCGTCGGGACATCCCTCGCGCGCCTCGTGGCCCCATCCATGGGGAGATGGTTTCCCCGACCCTCGCGCGGCGTGTCTATATATATATATATATATATATGCACATATATGTGCGTGCGTGTGTATCTATTTGCTTTTACTATCCCGCCCAGCACGTCGTTTCGCGGCCCTGCGGGGCATCCCGCCGTAGGCCCCAGTGACACCGCCCGCGCGCGCTTCCCCCGCCAAGCACAAAGTTTCGCGGCCCCAGAGGAAGCTCCACCGGAGGCCCCAGCGGCGCAGCTCGCAGGCGCCACCCCCGCCCAGCACAACGCTTCGCGGCCCCGGGGGGAGCACCACCGAAAGCTCCAGCGGCGCTGTTCGCGCGCGCTCCCCACCCACCAACCCGCCCACCCACCCCCGCCCACCCACCCCCGCCCACCCACCCACCCATTGCAGCGCTTCGTGGCCTCAGAGGGAGCTCCGCCGAACGTCCCAGCGGCACAGTTCGCACGCGCCCCCGCCCCCAGCACAACATCTCGCGGCCCCGCGGCGAGCTCCACCGAAGGCCCCAGCGGCGCAGTTCGCACGCGCCCCACCCACAAAGCACAACGTTTCTAAGCCCCAGAGAGAGCTCCACCGAAGGCCCCAGCGGCGCATGTCGCACGCGCCACCCCCCCCCCCACCCAACACGCCGTTTCGCGGCCCCAGAGGGAGCCCCACCGAAAGGTCTGAATGGCGCAGTTCGCACGCCCCCCGCCACCCCACCCCACCCAGCACGGCGTTCCGTGGCCCCAGAGGGAGCTCCACCGAAGGCCCCAGCTGCGCAATTCGCACGTGCCCCCCCCCCCTCTCCAACCCCACCCACCCAGCACACCGTTTCGCGGCCCCAGAGAGGAGCTCCATCCAAGGTCCCAGCGGCGCAGTTCGCACGCGCCCCCGCCCCACCCCCCACCCACCCGGCACAGCGCTTCGCGGCCCCAAAATGAACTTAACCATTGGTCACAATTGCGCAGTTCGCACGCGCCCCCCCCCCACCCAGCACAGCGCTTCGCGGCCCCACCGATGGCCCCAATGGCGCAGTTCGCATGCGCCCGCACGCGCGGGCCCGACGTCGGACCCCAGCTCAGTCGACTACGCACTAGATTCTCCCCGAGGAAGATGACCCGCCAGGGGCCCTAGGGCCAGCCAGCGCGAGCCTTGACCACGACGTGCCCCTCCCCAGCCATGGCCTCGAATTCCGCGCTGGCGCTTCGATCGGGCAACGGCACCGATGTGGGCCCGAAACGCACAGAGCTTTGAATTAAGCCCGCGGCGCCGGCGATCCCCGCCGGGAAGCGAGCGGGAAGGGGCCCTTGAGTCCCCCGCGACGACCTCGGCCGCGCCGGCAGCGGCCGCCCCCCCGGGGCCGCGGCCGCCGCGGCTCCGGCGCGCGAGCCCCGCCAGGAACCCGCCCAATGGCCGGGGCGGGGGCGGGGCCGCCGCGGCTCATCCGGCCTCCACTGTGGGCCAGGCACATGCGCCCCCGCCGCTTCGGCGGCCTCCTGGCAGCAGGCCTGCTTGGAGCACTTCTCCTTCAGCCGCGTTGCCCGCTAGACCTGGCCACGATAGGCGCAGAGGCAAGCTGCGGCGTCGCGCCCTGCAGCCAGCGGCGGGGAGTCCGAGGCCAGGCCGTCCTCGAAAAGGAGTGGTCGGATCGGACCTGGGGGACTCGTAGCAGCCATTGCCCGCCCTTGAAGGCGACGCTGGCTTTGGTGGGGCGGCCGTCGGGCTCGATCTCGGACTCGGGCTTCTAATCAAATTCCTCTGCCAGTTCGGATGCCGCGCCAGGCACCGCGTCGCCAGTCGCAGTGCGACGGCGACGGCGCCGGCGGCACCTCCCTCCACAGCACGGCACGTACCCGACGAGCACGGCCTCTGACCGGAGGAAGCGGACTATGCCGATGACGATTTGCCACACGATGGCCTGCCCCTGCCAGGTTGTAAACCGAGCGCGGGAGCCCACATCGACGATGGCCTCGGCGTCGAAGGCTGCGTACCCGTGGCCGTTATGTCTCCACGATTGACCTTGTAGTCCTGCGAGCGGTCGAGATGGATCCTCCTGGGTTCTGCCCGCCCACGCCGCTGCCGCAGGACGCGCGAACTGGCCCTCTTCACCGCGGCGCAGTCGATCTAGAGACCGGACCATTCGGCGCGGTTCACGGCCAAGGGGTCGACTCTGAGGCGGGCGACGCGCCCGTCGATCCAAATCAGGACGTCGTTGAGCTTCCGACCGGTACCCCGCCCTTTGATCTTCTTGGCGACGTTCTCAGCGATGGTCGTCGCGCCCGTGGCGCGTCCTGCCCAAACCACTGCTGTGGGCTGAGGCGTCGCCGGCGGCAGAAGCTCATCCACTTCTGCGACCTCTGCCATGACGCCCGCGAAGCGGAGGGCGAGCCCGACGCACGCCACGGCGGGCCAGGCCGCGCCGGAGAAATGCACGCCCGCGCGTCGGTGAGGAAGAGGAGCCGGCCGCCACTTTTGAGAGCCAGTTCCTTCCCTCCGAATCGAGAGAAAGCGCCCTGAGGTGCTCAACGGTTGTTTCGAAGGCCCACCCCCCGACACCTTCAGCTCGCCAGGACCAGGTGTGGTCGCCCAGGGACTTTCAAGTCGAGATCCAGGTTTCCCAGCCCCCGATAAAGGAGACTTCTGGGACGGCGGGGTGGGGGCGGGCCTGGTGGCTCGGGCGGCTCGCCGGGCGGGGAAACCCCTGCCGGCGGCGGCCCGAGCTCGCTCAGATCCTCGATCTCGGAGACCCCTCCGAGTACGTGAAGGAGTCGTACGACACCTCCTTGCTGGGGAGGCTGGGCAGGCCCCAGGCGTGGACCTGCGGCATGCTGTGGCAGAGCTCGGCGACCCGCAACAGCCCGCCTCCCAGCGAGCTGGCGGGCCCAGCCGGCCCAGCCACCATCGCCCGCCTGGCGAGAAGGCGGAGAGCCACCGGCGCCGCACGGCGGGCGGGCGCCGCGCCCCCGCGGCGGCTGCCACCCTCCCTCGGCGCGGCGGGGGCGGCCGGCGTCAGCTGCGCACTCTTCACATGGCGGCCCGGCGCCCGGCAACGCGGCATCGCGCGCCTGGCGCCATGTTCCGGGGAGGTCCCCCGAGTCTTGCGGGCCTCCGGCGTGGGCCCCCAGCTTGACCCAGAAAGGCTCGAGCCCCCACAGCGGGAGAGAGAGAGAGAGAGAGCAGAGCAGATCAGAGCAAGGGCAGAGGCAAGGACAGGGAACCCGCACATCTCTGGGGGCCGAGAAAGCCTATCGCTTACATCAAACAGCCAACGTCCGGTGGCAACTCCTGGGAACCGCCCATGCCATCTTGCGGGCTCTTGCGAATCGACGCTACCCGACGCTAATTGACGCCAATCGACTCTGACCGACGCTGAATCGACGCCACATCGGCGCTAGGTGGACGTGTATCGACACTAAATCGACGCACAATCACAAAGAGCACACACACACACACCAAATTAGCAGCGGCAGGGGCATCGGGAGGGGAGCGCAAGCGGAGCCGGCAGAGCTCAGCACTCGGGCGGGTGGCAGTGGAGGGTGACCTTCATGGGGGGGGAAGAAAATGGCCCTCGAGCGACCCTTTACAGAGCCCCTCTTGGAGCCGCTAGGGGTCCCAAAGGAGCCCTTAGGGCCCTTTTCTTTCTTTATCCCCCAAACAGGCCACCCCCATTACCACACGCCCGAGCGGAGCCAGCAGAGCTCAAGCACGAGAGAAGCAAGCCCCACCTGGGGCGCGCGTGAGGGCGTGCTCTGGGCCCAGTATACGCGTCAGCAAGCCAGCGCCCTCCTGAAAGAGGGGGCGAGGGGCCTCCTCCACCTCTTCCTCCTCCTCCTCATCCTCCTCCTCCTCCTCCTCCTCTTCCTCCACACCATCACCATCATCATCATCATCATCATCATCATCATCATCATCATCATCATCATCATCATCATCATCGTCGCAATCGTCATCATCATCATCACTACCACCACCACCACCATCATGATCAGCATCAACATCAGTATCATCATCGTTATCGTCATCATCACCATCATCATCATGATCAGCGTCATCACCATAGTGGTAGTAGTAGAAGTAGTAGTAGTAGTAGTAGTAGTAGTAGTAGTAGTAGCAAAATACATGGAGCGATAGTACCCGTATTGCTGGAAATACTGATACAAGTAGTCCTACTGCTAAAATTAATACTACTACTACTACTACTCGTACTACTACTACTACTGTTACTACTACTACTACTACTACTACTACGACTACTACTACTACTACTACCACTACTACTACTACTACGACGACGACGACGACGACGGCGACTACTACTACTACTACTACTACTACTACTACTACTACTACGACTACTACCACTACTAGGACAAGAAATAACAATAATAATATGCGACTACAACTACGACAACTCGTACTACGACTACTACTGCTACTGCTACTGCGACTACTACTACTACTACTACTACTACTACTACTACTACTACGACTACTACTACTACTACTACTACTACTACTACTACTACTACGACTACTACTACGACTACGACAACTACTATGCCTACTACTACACTACTACTACTACTACTACTACTACTACTACTACTACTACTACTACTACTACTACGACTACGACTACTACTACTACTACTACGACTACTACTACACTACCACTACTACTACTATACAATACCTACAACTACTACTACT